TTTGGTTTTACTGAATTGCATCTCAAGTGTATAATATAACATTAATGGCAATTAGGGGGACAATCCCCAAGGAAACGACCACTCAGTTTTAGATAGGAAACCTACGAGGAATTTTTGTAGGTTCTCATAATTTTCAATACCAGTGAACTCCCTAAAGGAATTTAATCTGGATTCCTTTTAAGTGCATTAGAAGTACTGTTACTCTATTTAAAAAAATGTTATAAATGAGATTCAAGATTGGGATTACGGTTGCATTCTGCTCTCTCGAAAATGGAGGTAGCATGTTAGTTATTCCCAAAAGTGAGAATGCACTTACTTGGAAAAAAGATGTTGTGTCTTGATAAAGAAACAAACAAAACGAAAAAAAAAAAAAAATCTCAAAAACTTTTGTATCTCTCTTAATGTATCAACCTTTATCAATATTTCGCAATAAAAAGGAAAGAATTTGACAAAAAATTGTATACAGATGAAATATATAATATATACGCTATATATATATATATAGCGTACCCAGAGCTATTATTAATTACATGCAATGTAACAAACATCTACTTGCGAATAATTCAGAAAAAATACAAAATTACACAAATATTATTAAATACTGTTTATATACTTCAAAAGTACCTATTTAATTTTATTAATAGTTATTTGCATTAGGAAATTCTAAATTATATGGATTAAATTCTTATATGAATACTATTCATATTTGAAATTCTTATTATTATAGAATGTATTTTAAATGTTAATATATCCAAGTTATATATATTTATAATTACTTACATATTCAATTCACAGAGGGCGTAACAGTGACTCAAAGAATTAATGAATTCCTTAAATTTTTATTTTTAACCTTTGTAATATTTTATAAACAAACAACTTTTTTCGCATCTTTAAATTTGACAGAACTAATGAAGTGTAACATACTAGTCTCGTCGAAACAATGAATAGAGCAAGAAAAGAAGTTCCAGGTTGGGGGAAAATCAAAAAAAGATCTGTACTCCACGAAAATTTATCTACATCCTAATACCTATACCACTCTTACTGTGTTTCAAGGTAGGAAGCAAAAAACGTTTGTTGTGATGATTATACTTCAATCAAGAATTGCAATAGACAACACTTCAAAGAAAAGACGGAAACCGTGATTTTCTACGATGATAAAGGGCTGTGGTAGCCTAGTGGTCAAGGTATCGACTCATGACATGCCTGTCATGAGTTCGAGCCCAGTACCACTAAAGACCCGCCGTGTAGGGCAAAGATGCACGTTAAATCTGTCAAGAGCTGAAACGTCCTCCCGGTGGTGTGGTTGTTAGGAGAGGGTGTGCCAACTCAGGTGTGGTCCACGTCACTTGACCATGGTTTAAAATTACTTGGTTCGTCGCGAAAGGCCTTCGTGTAGCTGAACAGTGCGACGTTAATATTCATTCACTCTACAATGATACAAAATGTGATGTAGATATTGTAGAACACACACACACACAAATGGCAAGAAAATATTCCGTAAGTGCTGAATCAAGAAGATGACCTGTATATAAATTTTACAACATTTTAGATCTTGCAGAAATCAACTCTTGGATTATTTATAGCTCGGTATTGGGTAAATCTATTTCAAGAAAAAACTATATACAAAACTTGGATAAGGAATTACCTTAAAATCCGGCGTATAACGCGCACCTATACTTTCAACCTGAAATTTTTGATTTTTAGGTATATTCGCCGTATAATGCGCACCTCTTTTTTACGAAAAAAATTGAAATGTACGTACGCAATACTGTTATGTTTTGAAGTAAATTTTCGAGGTATTATTCCAAGATTCAGAAGAAAAAAATAGTGTGTGTGTGTGTTTCTTGAACTACAACCTCTTAATTTCATAAGGTATGTCATTAGAAGTCTAACTTTTTTTTTCTATGCTTACCTTTGTTTATTTTTAAGCTCTCATTTTTATACCCGGTGTATAACGCGCACCCGTAATTTTCGATCTCATTTTTTTGTGTTAAAAGTGCGCGCTATACTCCGAATTTTACGGTACACTCAAATTAAGCAAGAAATTTGAAAAAGCAGGTAAACACTGAATTTAAAGGAATTATAATTTCTCTAGAACGTAAAAAGTCCAATGAAAATGCTACTAAAAAAAATGTACGTCTCTTGCATGAAAATGGTGCACAGATAATCTACAGGAAAAATTCAATAGCACCCACCGTATCCACTGCAAATGAGGAACGTACAAAAAATTATGCATAAAAACGATAAATAGTGATTAAAAAAATTTCGTTCTCACAAAAAAAAAAATTACGATTTTTTTTTACTATATTTCTAATATATATATTTATATATATAAATATTATTTCATTTCATTTTACAAAATTAAATAATTTGTGTTATTACAGTTTTTTATGATATAAAGGGTCATAATATATGACAATTACGTGAAATAATATTAAAAAGTCTTAAAACTAAAATCTGCTGAACAAGTCCTGCAATTATTTAGTTTTATTATATATAATTATTTTATTTATTTTATATCCTGGTGTCCAAACTATACCGGTGGACGTTTAAGAGTAATCGAAATCTCGGGCGTTCTAGTGTTAATGTGTTGTTGTTTCTGTTCTCTTCTTCCTTGCACCCTTAGCTTGCAGCTACCCCATTTGCGAACCAGCATTCCTATGGAATGCCGAGTCATCTGTATACCCCTATACACCCTTCAAGTTTGTCGGCCTGGTAGCGAATCACTCTATATATTCATGATTTTTGAAGAAATGAAATTCAATCGCTGTGATGGGTGTTTGACGAATGTCCCATAATAGGTTAAGGGCAGTTGGAAAGCTAAAATCTTTTTTTTTTTCGACAATTTGAGATTTTTACATTTTCAAAAATTGTATAGATTTTAACCTTTCTAAAAATACTTTACTTTAACCTCTAGGGTAATTAGAAGCCCTTAAAACCTATTTTTAAATAATCTTCGAAACTGGGCCGCACCCATTTGAATGGCGAAAAATATAAGCGAAGTACTTAATTTTTGCTTAAAAGTTGAACGTCTGATATAAACCGAAGAATGTATCTTTTATTGTAAATTGAGCCTTTTATTTTTTTATTTACTAGCCGATTAGATAACTCACTGTATACATTAAAAACAATTGATCTCAAAATGTAATTTTGATGTGCGATGTTTCTTTTCTGAAAAACTACTGTTCACAGGTATGTAAATTTCTTATGATATATTTATAATGATGGCTAATATATACTAAAATGAGTTTTTTGTAAAAAACTCAAAAATTTAATTTTTACAAATTTTTTATGTGAAAAAATGGGTTAAATTTCGCAATGTTTGCTAAATTATTTCATAAATTATTAAAAAATTCAAAATTAGCTCAAGCTCATTTCAGTATAATGAAAAAGGTGTACTTTAATTGTATGAAAAATTTCAAGCCGGTACATATAACAGATTTTGAGAAAATGTGCATCGAAAACAGCCAATTTAACATTGAGAGAGAGATTTTCAACTCCCCTTATATAATGATTTTGATTCACAGTCGAATAACAAGGAGTGAGTGAGAGTTATATTAACGTCACGCTATAAAGCAACACGAGGGCTATTGACGACGGATCCCGTAATTTTGAACCTCGGTCAAATGACGAGAATAGCACCTGAGCTGGCACCCACCTCTCCAAACTACCACACCAGAAAGAAGAAAATACTTTGATCTCGCCAGATTTAACGTGCAACAGCCTCCTCTACACGGCGGGTCTTCAGTGCTCCCAGGATTTGAACCCCCAACACTCCGGCCTCAACTTTACAACCACTAGGCCATCACAGTCACTAAATGACAGAGTTTCAGATTTGGCGCTTCACTTAAATTACTTTATCACGCAATATGAAGGTTTGGAGAGATGCATAGTAGTACAGTAATATCCTCAGTGATATTATTCAACACAGTGCAGACTGAAACTATCGGTTTGACATACAGTGTATAAAAATAATAGAATTGTATTCTGAAAAAAGAAATTACACTAATGTATGTATGTTATATTTCTCTCTCTCTCATTTTCATACAAAATATCTCTTACTTTGCCATCCCTTAATCAAACTTTGTTTTAGAATTTTGTATTATTTTGCATATCTTTTGGAAAGGCAGCCAAAAAAAAATTATTTCAGTAAAATAATCGTTTTGTCTCTTATTCTCTCTCCCTTATGCACAGATCATTTAGAATCGCTTAAAAGCTAACCATTAACGTCAAATGCAATCGCGTTTTTTACGGTACGTCATCATTATTTCTATAATTCAAATCCTACAGATTTAAATTTTAAATAAAAACATATCCCCAAAATGAAAGATTAGCTCATTCATTACTTTTATTTATATTTTGTTTAACCTAACCTAAATAGTATTTCTTTTTGAAGACTATTTTTAAACGTAAATGTTTTCCTGTTCATGATTTCAGTAACACACCCAAACTGAATTATATGGTTTGTTCTAGATATATGTAAGAAAATATTCCTATAGGCTAGCTATTAGATATATTTATATTCATAGCCATCCATTAGAATGTCTGTGATTACTGATATTACTAGACTGTGGTTGGGCAGTCAATCTTCCATTCAATAACATTTTAGCAACTACATGTGTGTGTGTGACAAAATGAATTCTAATTACAGTTGTAAAAGTTCAAATATTTCTCATTCCGGGGAGAACACTCCAAGTGAGCTTTCTACTATCACAAATTTTTGCATTTTTTCTGAAGGAAATGTTTTTATAGAATATATAAATATATATATAAAAGAAGAAAAAAAATCAAGTCATTTCCTATTTAGGTGAACAAAGAAAAATCTTATTTTAGTTACTTTTTATTAAATAATTATAATTAATATAAATATGTATATACATATGACAGAATCACGAAATTAAATGGAAAGCGATTTACCGTTTTCATTTCTATATATGGTGGACAGTTGTTTTTGTTTATTAGTTATTTATTCACATGAATCATATTCTCAGAAATTAGGCCATCCCAAATAGGATTCCGACCCACGACCTTTGGATTAGAAGTCCAACACGCTATTCATTGCGCTACAGGGACACAATGAGTGTTTTTCCTTTTTATATATGGTGTTGGATTATTATTCTTGTTTGTTACTATTTATTTATTAATTAAATTTAATTACTGAATTAATATTTGAAAGAACTGTATTAACATCAAGTGTCATCCACTACAAGTTTAAAAACATGTATTTGAACTTGAGTAGATGAATAAAAAGTATTTTATTAATGATTGAAAATTTGAACAAGATATATATATATATATATATATAGGGAGAGTGTGAACTAATAGTAGAGGAACTGAAAAAAAATACTCTCGCGCGTGGTTTTTAAATTGTAGTTTTAACCACTTTTGCTTAATTTGAATAAAACCAAAATAATTGAGTGTTTATTAAAAACAATGAAATGAAATCCCTTCCAACGAATATTAAAGAGAGATTTATTGAATTTATTTTAGAACATAAGTATTTCAATAAGGATTGAAAATTTGAACAAGAATTATTTAAGGAGATTATGAACTAATAGTAAGAATTCAAAAAGAAATCATAACTTCATTTAATTTAAAATACCGTGACGTTAATGAATAGGCTAATTTATTTGCATTTTGTTATAGAAAATTAAAAGTAAAATTATATCCGATCAAAATCCAGTTATGCTAAAACTGAAAAATGTTAAGAATATAATAAACTATTCTTATATAATCAGAGAACACATAGAAAGGGACTTGTCTAAATCTAAAAAAAGAATCAACACATTAAATCTCTGATACTGAACCTGTCGCCCGCCAGCCTTTTTTGAGTGGCCCAGTCATGGCCCATTACACAAAGAAATTCAATTATTGGAGAACAATGTACAAAAAAATTTAACAGGAAATTCTATCAATCAAGCAATTAAATGTATCAATTTTGTTATGAATTGTTTTTTTAATAGTAAAATGTAAGCAAGAGGCTTGGTCATAGATGAAAGAAAATAGAAATTATCCCATAACTCAGTAAAAATTAATAAAAATAAATATATTTTTGTGTGTGTGTTCAATAGAAAAGTTAAATATAATATTAAAATAAAAGCCGAAAATGAGTTTTAATATTTTGATGAATTTTGTTTGTCAATGTTGCTTCTTATAATCTGTTTTTTCTACTATCCGCATGTTGTAGCCTGCGTGAAATACCTATCATATGTATGCGGCCCGGCGGGAAAAAAGGTTGAGTATCCATGCATTAAAGTATCCGACTACGTTCGGAACCATGATTTTAAAAAAGCGCATAAATAGATAATTTTCTTGATATTTAGTGTCACTTAGGTTAGAATACATGTATAAAATTGTTTTAAGGAGACATTTTTTGACAAAAAAAAATTATTTAAATACAATATTTTGGCAAAAAATTAACTTAGAATAACCTTTTTTCAAAATATTCTCCTTTTGTGAAAAAATGCTTCTATTATAATAATGGTTTGCCTGTATATAACTCAGACCTCTGTACAGAGGCTCAAATATGATTTTTAAAAAATTCACATTATTGTCAGAGTTACAACCCATTGAAATAATTATCGGCGTTTTTTTCTTAAAATGTCTCCCCTCTGTTGTGTGTGTCGTAAAACATGGATAAACCCACTTCTAAGTTATATATTTCAAAAATTCTAGTTGAGCCTCTGTACAGAGGTCGGAGCTATATACAAGCGAAATATTATTATAATAGAAGCATTTTTCACAAAAGGAGAATATTTTGGAAATGGGTCATTCTATGCTCATTTTTTGTCAAAATATTGTACTTAAATAATTTTTTATTGTAATACTATTCTTAAAACAATTTTATATACATTTTCTAATCTAAGAGACACTAAATATCATAAATATTATCCATTTATACGCCTTTGCAAAATCCTGGTTCCGAACGTAGTCGGATACCTTAAATCAACAAATATAATCCATTAACTATCTCATTGTAAAGTCAGACATTAATTTAGAATCATTGTATTGATTATTTGAAAAGAATGTTTGGGATATCAAAAATTGAATAAGTTGAAAATTCTTTTATGCTTAATTAACATTCACATGTATTAAAATACATACTTCCATTTTTCTCGTAAAATGTGGAGGGAATTTGAAATTAACTTCCTCCTTATAAAAGTCAATTTGAATTTAACTAGCTATATTATACTATTATTTTCAAAGTAAATTTCTTGTGCATCTTACTGCCTTAAAATATTAAAACAAACCAAACGGAAGAAACACGAAATCATACTATGTTATATACTTTATTTGGAAGTGATACTTTTGAAGATTTTTTTTCAAAGTGCCTTAGGGAATGAAAGGCAATAAGGCATAAATAGATTCCTCTAGTATAATTTTATAAAAAATGTATAAAAGTCTCAACTGATAAAAGGATGAGAATTCTATTTTATTTGTTTTTAATATTTATAAAGTAACATTTAAAATCTGGAATTTGTTTTAAGAGCTCAAAAATTATAAGAAAGAGGTATTAATTTTTTCAATTAGAAAGCTTACATACAAAATTGCGTAAAATCATCATTAAACTAAAAATCAGCTAGTTCTAAAATAAAATCTTCCATTTCTAAAATATTATAATTACAATTACAGTCAAATGATATTTCTATATATTACAAAGGGTGAATGTATTTAAGAAGAGCCGTACGATTAATTTTATACTAATCTGTAAAAATAAAGCAAAACGGTCAAAAATAAGACAGCCTCAGAAGTGTAATTACAAAAAAAGTAACAAAGTATCTCCAATATTAATTTAATGGTAATTTATCACCAGATTTCCTGAAAATAATCTTCTTACATTAATAAAAGTTATCAAGTGGCGATGGGGATTAACATCACATTTTTTATAGGAAAATTGAAGCAATTCATCAAAAACAAAATATAATTACTAGAACTTTGCAACTGCTTTAATTCCTGAGATTCAAGTTTGGGAACAGTACCATACCTGTACCCTCTTCTCTTATTCCGCTCGACGTCAAAGAAAGAAAGTAGCAAAACTGTTTGCTCAGTTATCAAAGGTTCCCTTTGTCAATATTCCTTTACTACTAAACACATAGTGAGACATCGCATTTGTTTAATTAGTGGGAAGTACCTATACGTGATAATACTTCCTCGTTAAAAAGAGAGGGACTTTTCAAAAACACAATTAAAACATGAACTCTATCCCTTTTCAGCACTTTTACTGTCGTATTTCTGAATATATATAAGAACAATTCTGTCGAGAGTTTTTGAAAAAAATTCTTCATCTCTTTTTTTTTTTAATTTTGAAAATCTTATTTTATTTTTAACAAAGCATTTAATCAAATAGTTGCTGCTTTAAGCTTTAATTACTTAATTGTCTGTTATTTATCTTTAAGTAAAGCTGATGAAGGAAGTTATTTTTCCCAGTTTTGTTAGCCCACATCTAAAACATTATTTTTTTATAGTTAATAACAAATATCTCGAAGTACAGGATGCATAGAATAATCCATTTAACCCAGCGTTTCTCAAACTGTGGGGCGCTGCCCTCTAGGAGGGCGTGATAACCCAACGGGGAGGGCATGAGCATATCGAAAAGCCTAAAATAAAACATTATTTAAAAATATTATTAATTTACCGAAAGGAAGCAAAAAAAAAAAAATACATTCGGACATAATAAAAAATAAAATACGCATTTACACTGATATAATACATCAATAAAGGTATCAGTACTGCACACTGTATTTGATAATTAATTTAACAATACCAAGTTAAGAACAAGTTTAACAATTGCCAGTAACCCTATTGGCTTGTTATGTATAAAATTATATAAAAAAAAATTAATACTTATCTTGATAATTTGTACGGTTTGTAACTAAATTCGTGCTGTAGATTTACGTCAAAGTGCATTATAATTTAATTCAATACATTGTTATTATTTGGATGGGGGAGTGGGGCGTGAAGAAAATTATAACTGGAAATTGGGGCGCAAGAATTGAAAATTTGAGAAGCACTGATTTAACCTTAAAATAACTGGCAATAGAAGAAATCTACAGCTATGTAAATGATACTACGACAACACCCGACATACTGCGAACCATTGCAGTGGCCCTATTGGAAAAATTTGGAAAATACACATTGCAAATCGAAAGCGAAAAGAGATAGAGCAAAACTTCCAGTTCAAAATTTTTAGATGATCAGTTAGCTAATACGAAACGCTATTCTGTTCTTACGGATAGGATAAATCATCGCTTACACGGGAATTCGTTACCAGACCGACAAACTTGCAGGGTGTGTAGGGGTTACAGAGACGACTCGGAATCACATAGGAATGCAGGGTTCCAAATGCCATAGGTATTATCTATGGTGCAAAGAAACAGAGAAAGATAGAAAAGAAACAGCAACACATTAATGGGATGGAAAACATTTTATTGAAAGGTTGTGCTATGAAATGTGTTCGAAATGACTATCAGAAGTCGTCTAGATGGATTAACAGTGGCATTGCATGGAATTTTTTACGTTTTGGAACACTTCTCGAGGCAGTATTGCGGTAGATGGCGCTGAACGGAAGGCTTCATAAACACTGATTCATTTGAAAGTCTTCATTTGTGATCCGTTTCCCGAGGTAGTAGAATGAACTCGATTTCAAACGAGTCGACACGCTGATTGTGTATGGAGCGGCGGTTTGTAACGAGCACTTTGCTCAGTGGTTGTACCAAGAACGTTAACCCAACAGGCGTATTCCACATCACGTGACATTCGCCTGAACAAAAGGATACGTGGTATTGGTTCTTTAACGAGAGCTACAATGAACTGACAGCGAAGTACGAAGACATCTGACAATGAAGAAGTGGTCTTACGCCTGGTAAAAGAAAATCCAAGTGCGTGTATTCGAGCGATAGCGCTACAAGTGGGTTTATCTCAATGTATTGTCTAGAGCAGGGGTGTCCAACACGCGGCCCGTGGGCCGCATGTGGCCGGCCAGTATGTAAGATGCGGCCCGCCGACTCTTTTTAAAAACATTTTAAATATCAGGTTTTTAAAGATTTTCATTTTGATATTTATTTGAGGGGAAA